GGAATCTGGGTTGATTACATATATTAGCTATGGTAAATAGTGCTGCAATGAGCATAGTTGTGCTGGTAGCTTTAGTGTGACATTGTTTGTGGTCATTTGGGTAAATGCTCAGGAGTGGGATTGCTGGGTCATAGGGGAATTCTATTAATGATAACATGTGATATCCAAATAAACTATATTAAATATATTGCTTTGAATTGAAAGAATTCAATTAAGTGTCAGTAGGTAAGGAAGTATAATGTCTTTCTCTCTTCCTTTTCCTCCTCCTCTTCCTCCTCCTTTTCCTCCTCCTTTTCTTCCTCCTCCTCCCCCTGCTCCTCCTCCTCCTTTTCCTTTTCCTTGTCTTTGTCTTCCTCTTTGTTTCTCTTATAGGATGAGAGAAAAAGCAAGAAGGCATGAACCTATTTAGGATGAAAGTAGGGCAGGTCTGATGATTCATGGCATAATGTAGATAGTTTACATTGGTGTTTAGCGATTAACTCCTAATGATTTTTTCCCCTGAAAATAAGGTAAGACCTACAGTATTTCAGTCATACTGTTAGGTGGAGAACTGCAGCTTAGAACCATTGTTAGTCAGGTCCCATCTCTCTCATCATTCACTGATGTGATACTAGCATGGTGGGCTATTAGTCTCTTCACCATTTTATCACATGGAAATCATGTGAATTTGTCTCATAATAGATATTCTGTCAATTATGGACATACCTTGTAAGTATTGGCAGTAATGCAACCCAGATATGTAATTCATTAGAGCAGGAAAGTAGCCCATCCTATACTACACATTTTCTATGGAAATGACTAACCATATGTTAACAGTATGCAAAACCATCTACTTTCATTTATGTTGGCCTATTCTACATGTATCCAATTCATGGCTGATATAGGAATGACTTTTTTTTAATTGTGAAAATAATGTACAGAGGGGTTACAATTACGTGGGCAAGATAATGAGTACATTTCTTATCAAGCATTGTAGCCTCCTCCTTTGTTTCCCCTTCCCATCCTCCCCCTGTCCCCCAACCCAATCTTCCCCATCCCCTCTCCCCGCCTCCCTACCCCCCCCACCAAAGTTGTAAAGTTTGTTTTCGACATAATAACTTGTACATCTCATTGCTGCAACGGGTCCACCCGTATCCCTATTTAAACTATTTGTTTTTCCCCTTACCCTCCACAAATTATACCGACATCAAATACAGTGAAAACACGAGTTATACTGTGGGGGAGGGACATACATAGCAACAAAGAAATAATCTTATAAATGTGTTAGAAACAATCGCATGAAAGAAAAAAAATTTGAATACATA